CTCTCATATTTAGTCCAATAAAATACTCTGGTATTTTGGTATTTTCTCTACTGGACTAATACGGCTAATCCAATCTACACTATATATATATATATATATAAAAAAGGAAAATATGATAGCACTCTCAGGTCTATAAAAATATATAAAACTTAACTTTTAATTAGCTATGCAGAAAAAATCAACGTTTCAGTCTGCTAATCGCAGACTTTCATCAGGATTAATACACACACACACACACAGATATTCAATATATAGTAAAATATAAATTAGTAATTAACTTACCCACCACCACAAACATAGAGTCTCCCTGTCAGCTCGGTCTGGAGTCCACGTGGGTTCGGCCGGCATCCGGACGGACGTTCGTGACGTCATCACGTGGTGCCGGCGTCATGACGTCAGCACGTGATCAACCAGCCGGCGGCATCATGAGGAGTATGTTGCTAGGGAGAATAGCTTCCTAGCAACACATAAAAACAAACACTGTATAGCTGGGGATCCATGTAATCACCACTAAACAAATTACACAAGATAAAGGATTAGGGATAATTAAAGAGACCTCTGCAAAGAAACCCCTAAATACTCTTCTAAAGAGAGAAAAATCCATATATTAAGTGGACAATAAATAATAAATAATAAATAATAGTATATAACCAGCAAAAAAAGAATGAAAAAGAATCCTATCTAATGGCAGATATGGACAGTATCTATTATAATAATATGTAGATTACTGTAAAAATAGAGAAACTAATCCCCAATGTTAATGTAAACATAATGTAAACCCCAAGTCCAAAAGGGCTATATCATATCAAGTGCAGAGGACATGATGAATGAAGGAATTATTCTAACGATCCCTAAATACACTACCTATGGTCCAAAACAAACAGCCAAAATCCAATCCCTACTCCAGAATATACATATTAACAAAAGGTCGTTATATAGGATGATAAGCCACTACCATCAAAGCACCACATATAATAACATAACCAGTGACGCTATACTATCCATCCTAAACTGAAAATTAATGAGGACTATATACAAACATAACTGACACTGGTCCAGCCAAAAACCAAGGATAAATTGGACACCGGTTAAAGTGGCTGACCCCCCGGGCGGGCCACTTAAACCATATTGCAAAGTAAATCAAACACAATTATAAAAAGACAGATAAAGAATATTTTTCATTAAGTCCATTGGGATACACGGTTTGAAGCGTTCTGATCCAGAATAGTTCGCGTTGAAGCAGCATCTTTTTTCGGTCTCCTCCCCTTCTCGGCAAGGGAATTTGATCGATAGCCATCAACTTCATAGAGGGCAACGAGTGTCCCAATTCCAAAAAATGCTTGGCTACCGGTAACTCAGACTTCTTGTCCCTGTACGCAGTTCTAATACTGGATCTATGATTACGAATTCTTTCTCTCAAAGGAAGATCCGTTTTACCGATGTATGTTAATCCACAGGGACATGTTAATTTATAAATTACGAAAAAATCAGAAAAAATCAACGTTTCAGTCTGCTAATCGCAGACTTTCATCAGGATTAATACACACACACACAGATATTAAATATATAGTAAAAAATTTTCTGCATAGCTAATTAAAAGTTAAGTTTTATATATTTTTATAGACCTGAGAGTGCTATCATATTTTCCTTTTGTATTTTGCTGGATGAGCACCGGGCACCTAAATTGCGTTTTTGATGGAGTGCAAGATCCTTCCTTTGATTGTATGAATGGCTCAGTGGCTGGAGCCGACTTTCTATGCACCCTCTATAGATACATTCAGTATAATTTTTGATTTCACTTATATATGTGATTTTTTCTTTTTTTGCCAGTATTGATATATTTGTTCATATTTTTGGGAATTGATTTACTCTACCTGATTTTTTTGTTTTCATCTATGGAAGAATTTTTCACTTTGGCTGGGGGCTTGTCTGAGCAGGCAGAGATATGGCAGTATAGTGAGGAAGATGCTGATCGGATTAGATGGTCAGCTTCTACATCTGAATTACCGAATACTACGTCTCTCAGGGACATTTATTTTGAATTATTAAGATTAAGGAAAAGGGAAATTGATTTAGACCTACATGGTTTATTTTTATCAGAGTACCATAGGAAATTACAAATCCCTAGGGGTTTTCGTATCAAAAATATTCCTACAATTGGCAGACTTAAGCCACAGGTCTGTAAACGGTGGATTTCAGTCCTCAATAAATGTTCGTTGGATTTGATGCTGATCATTATTGAAGATGTGAAGGAGGACCTTATTCAGGTCAGGAGGAAAATTGCAGAATTAGAAACAACTCAAGCAATTTTATTATCAGCACCTGAAGCTTCCACAACATTATTGAAACTAGAAGATAATGTTAAGATCTACAAGACTGATTTGATTAGATTTAAAAGGGAAAAACAGGACAAAGTTGCTGCTGATTACAAGGAACATCGTGTTTATAGATGGCTTAGTGGTAAGAATGAAGTGCCATATTTCATAAAAAAACGCAGACCCATTCGAAAACCGAGACAATACACAATAGATAAGACTTCAGGGGAGTCTACTTCTGATTCAGAGCTTCCCCAATATTCACGCTCCTACAGCCAACCTGGGATTGAAGCAGGTACTACACAGCCTTTTTTGGAGGCTGCAGCACCAGACGTATCAGGTATACGGACCAGGTTTCGGAGCAGACACGGAACACCAGGAGGAGACACGTTACGAGACGTGGTCAAAAGGGGCGCACCTTCTGGGGTAAGAGGGAGGCCACCTCGCCAGTAGATCTGGCTCCTATTTTCAATTTATCTTCACGATCACTTACAACGGATGAAGTCACACTTTTAAGTAAAGGGTTATCTTTTGTTCCCACCTCTAGACCCAATGCTCAGGATTGGGAAGTTGAATTATATAAGTTCGGCCGTTCACTGAGATTAAAGGACTTTTTTAAATCTAAATCAGTGGAAGGTTCTGAGCAGAGTCATCAATTCCGGGTAAGGAGTACATTTGACCCACTACCCAATCAACCTTCGATTAAATCTTTTTTACGCTCAGTACAAAAAGAAACCACTGATCATTTGAAAGGCAAGCACCAATACCATTCAAATTGTACAATGAAAGATCGAGCTATCATTAAGTCCTTGGCACTTGATAAAAACATCGTTATCAGACCTGCTGACAAGGGGGGTGGGATAGTGATCCAGAACTATTCCGATTACCGCTTTTTGTCACAATTGTCGGATCATACCACATACGATAAATTGTCTAAATACCCTACAAAGGAGGTGATGCACTGTATTGATACTTGTTTAACAAGAGGCCTACATTCCAATTATATATCTATGGAACTATACCATTATTTACGATCCTTGGCTCCTAGAACACCTGTATTATACACGCTACCCAAAATTCATAAAAATAAGGACAGACCTCCTGGTCGACCTATTGTGTCGGCAATAGGGGGCGTCCTTGAACCCTTAGCCAAGTGGTTGGATTTTTTATTTAAGGAACCTATTGAGCATTTATCGACGTGTATAAAAGATACTCCAAGTTTTGTTAAACTCTTATCAAGGACGACATTACCTTCTGAATCGGTGGTTCTGGTGACATGTGACGTGTCAAGTTTATATACTGTGATACCTCACCAAGAAGGTATTGAAGCAATGAGATCCATATTATCCAGCTCTTTATACTACACAGGACCTCCAATTGAGTTCATATTAGAACTTTTGGAAATAGTACTCTCTCAAAACTATTTTAGGTTCGAGATGGAATGGTTTAGGCAAATTGCGGGTACTTCAATGGGTGCAGCCATGGCACCTATGTATGCCAATGGCTACATGTATTGTTATGAAACCAAACACATTTTGGAACCCTACAAGGATTACATCCTGAAATATGTCAGATACATCGATGACATCTTCATGGTATTCAAGGGTACTATCGCCGAAGCAGAAGATATGATTCGATACATCAATGGTTGCACTGATAATATTAAGTTGACAGCGGTTATGGATTCAACTTCAGTTGACTTCTTGGATATTAGAGTGTTACGCGAAGGGGCAGACTTAGCCTATACACTATATTCCAAGCCCACGGACCGCAATACTATCTTGCAGGCTAATAGTTTCCATCCACAGCCCTTGAAAAATTCCTTGCCTTACTCTCAGTTCCTGCGAGTCTTAAGGAACAATTCCAACCTGAGCCGAGCACAGGAACAATTAGGCATGATGTGGGAGAAATTTCGACAACGGGGCTATACCACTCACGTCCTAACCAAAGCACTTGATAGGTGTCGTAGTATCACCGAAACGTCCATCCCTAAAATATCATCTAATAGATTGGTATTTCCTACCACTTTTTCTACAGCTTCCTCTAAGTTCAAACAAATTATTGAGGAGAATTGGAGGGTGTTAAGGAATGATGTCACATTACCTCCAATATTCCAGAATCCTCCCATGTTTTGCTACAAGAGGAATAAAAATCGGAGGGATTTACTGGTGAATACGGATCCCGTTCACTGCTATTCCAAGGAAACATCTCTACAGAATCTAGGATGTTATCGATGCCTTGGTTGTGTAACTTGTGGACATATGATCCCGGGGAAGACATTTTCCCATCCTCACACAGGGACTATTTTTCACATTCGTCATCGATTAACATGCACAAGTGACTTCGTAATTTATAAATTAACATGTCCCTGTGGATTAACATACATCGGTAAAACGGATCTTCCTTTGAGAGAAAGAATTCGTAATCATAGATCCAGTATTAGAACTGCGTACAGGGACAAGAAGTCTGAGTTACCGGTAGCCAAGCATTTTTTGGAATTGGGACACTCGTTGCCCTCTATGAAGTTGATGGCTATCGATCAAATTCCCTTGCCGAGAAGGGGAGGAGACCGAAAAAAGATGCTGCTTCAACGCGAACTATTCTGGATCAGAACGCTTCAAACCGTGTATCCCAATGGACTTAATGAAAAATATTCTTTATCTGTCTTTTTATAATTGTGTTTGATTTACTTTGCAATATGGTTTAAGTGGCCCGCCCGGGGGGTCAGCCACTTTAACCAGTGTCCAATTTATCCTTGGTTTTTGGCTGGACCAGTGTCAGTTATGTTTGTATATAATCCTCATTAATTTTCAGTTTAGGACGGATAGTATAGCGTCACTGGTTATGTTATTATATGTGGTGCTTTGATGGTAGTGGCTTATCATCCTATATAACGACCTTTTGTTAATATGTATATTCTGGAGTAGGGATTGGATTTTGGCTGTTTGTTTTGGACCATAGGTAGTGTATTTAGGGATCGTTAGAATAATTCCTTCATTCATCATGTCCTCTGCACTTGATATGATATAGCCCTTTTGGACTTGGGGTTTACATTATGTTTACATTAACATTGGGGATTAGTTTCTCTATTTTTACAGTAATCTACATATTATTATAATAGATACTGTCCATATCTGCCATTAGATAGGATTCTTTTTCATTCTTTTTTTGCTGGTTATATACTGTTATTTATTATTTATTATTTATTGTCCACTTAATATATGGATTTTTCTCTCTTTAGAAGAGTATTTAGGGGTTTCTTTGCAGAGGTCTCTTTAATTATCCCTAATCCTTTATCTTGTGTAATTTGTTTAGTGGTTATTACATCCCCAGCAATACAGTGTTTGTTTTTATGTGTTGCTAGGAAGCTATTCTCCCTAGCAACATACTCCTCATGATGCCGCCGGCTGGTTGATCACGTGATGACGTCATGACGCCGGCACCACGTGATGATGTCACGAACGTCTGTCCGGATGCCGGCCGAACCCACGTGGACTCCAGACCGAGCTGACAGGGAGACTCTATGTTTGTGGTGGTGGGTAAGTTAATTACTAATTTATATTTTACTATATATTGAATATCTGTGTGTGTGTGTATTAATCCTGATGAAAGTCTGCGATTAGCAGACTGAAACGTTGATTTTTTCTGCATAGCTAATTAAAAGTTAAGTTTTATATATTTTTATAGACCTGAGAGTGCTATCATATTTTCCTTTTGTATTTTGCTGGATGAGCACCGGGCACCTAAATTGCGTTTTTGATGGAGTGCAAGATCCTTCCTTTGATTATATATATATATATATATTGATATATATATATATATAGACAGACAGAACCAAGAAAGTTAAGTTATGGTGAGGAAAAAAAGTGATTGAAAACCCCTTACACATGAAGTCAGTGGATAGTCAATACATTATTAAACACAGATCTGCATACTAGTCAAGCCACAATATGTTCTTTTCCCACAGAAATCTAAAACTTGCATTGATCACTAGTGATGTACCGAACGGTTCGCTGGCGAACGGTTCCTGGCGAACATAGCATGTTCGCGTTCGCCACGGCGGGCGAACATATGCGCGGTTCGACCCGCCCCCTATTCGTCATCATTGAGTAAACTTTGACCCTGTACCTCATAGTCAGCAGACACATTCCAGCCAATTAGCAGCACACCCTCCCTAGCAGACCCTCCCACCTCCTGGAAGGCATCCATTTTAGATTCATTCTCAAGCTGCATGCTTAGTAAGAGGAGGGAAAGTGTAGCTGCTGTTCATAAGATAGGGAAAAGCATAGCTAGGTTAGGGTTAGGGTCAGGGCTCGAGTCCTGCAGGAACGCATGGGAACGGCATTCCTGCACTTTTTCCAAAGCAGGAACGCCGTTCCCGCTAGTGATCCTGCAGGACCGGCCCTGCTACCTGCACAGAGGGGCCAGCACACGCTGTGTTCCCTCTCCAGCTCTAACTCTCGCGAGACCCGCGGCTGTTACCATGGCAACGCTCCGCACAGGCGAGTCTCGCGAGAGTTAAAGCTGGAGAGGGAACACTGCGTGTGATGGCTCCTGTGTGCAGCGGCTGCCTCCCTCCACCGGACCACCAGGCGATCTCCCCCCTCCCTGACAAGGTAAGAAGCAGGGAGGGGGGATAAATACAAATTATACATAAAGTAAAAAAATGCTACCCCCCCACACACACCCATCATCCAGCACTCACACACCCATCATCCAGCACACACACACACACACATCATCCAGCACTCACACAC